ACAAAATATATTTTATTCAATTTTGTCTCCCATCCCGAATGCCCACACCACACGCGGGGGGGGGGCGGATACCCCTCACCATCCCTCTCCAAAGGGGGAGTTTGGTAAAGAGAGATGAAAAAACCGATTTGTACCTTCCTTAAAAGTTGTCCTAGTTCGCTATTCTAAATCTATATACAATCTTCACACTGCCGTACTCTAACGGAACTATCAACTCTATGCTTTCATCTACTCCATCTATCGTATAAAAATTACCACTACAGTCTGTTATTTGAAATTAGCATCTTCAACTATGTAAATCGTTGACTTCACGTAGAAGTAATACTAAAAACATATAGTCAAAGAACGAAATATTGTTGCCCAGGAAGTTGACGAAAGTCGGCCTTGACGTAAGTTTCGTCATACATCACGATGCAACAGGATTTGGTGAGCAACTTCCTGTACAGTTTCTGGGCGCGGGTTTGAAACTTTTTGTACTTTGTGAACATGTAACCCAGCACGCTGGTTTTCTGCACAAAACCGACTGATACCTTGGACTTTTTAGCGACATCTCGAGTTGACATTTTTGGACGGTTCTTGAGCTGTTGCACCACTTTCCTGACCATTGGACCACTTTTACGACCGCTCCCTTCCTTCTTTCGGGCACTCAGACGCTCCTTGAAGGGTCTTATCACACAGTTGTATTTGCAATTCCAAACTTGTTAGCGATAAATGGGACGCCTCTGGATTTTGATTGAAAGTGCACAAAAGTTTTTCACGACATGGCTGGAACTACTGTACGAATAACTATGAAACTGGACAGATGTAAACAATACACTATGAATATGATTTACTCTAATTTTTAGGCTTTTTACTCATACGGTTCAAAAGTTACAGAAGATTTTCGGTGTGCCATTTTTATCGAATACACCCTTTAGAATCGTATAAAAAATGATAGGTGGCCTTTTATCAGTGATCAAAAATTGTTGACAGTTAGGGCACAGACAAACAGACATAACTCTTAGAAGAAAATTCTTCAAAAAATATCGTCAAGCGTATTTTGCATGCGCACTAGCACCATCTATCATCCACATTCCCAAGCATTGTTTTGCAACCGGAGCATTCCTCGTTCATGCAATTTTTTCACTAGTTGCTTTTCCATCGTTCTGTCAACGCGTCAGCTGTGTTGAATAAAAACAAAACAGATGGAAGTCAGTGATGTCGGTTCTACGGAATTTTCCGTAGGTCTATAGAATTGATTGAATTCTGCAGAAATACAGATCCGTAGGAAAAATTCACCGAAGCTAAGACTTTTTTAGGTATTTGATTTGTTTGTTTTTTTCTTTTGCTGGAAACAAGTTTTTAAACGAGGTAATGCATCACTTAATAGTGCCCTTTCTAAATGTAGATGTGTCAATGTAATATGTATCAATCAATGATATTCATTGTGAAGTATTTATTTATTTATTTATTTATTTATTTTTATTTAATACATCCATCTGACAATAAGTCTTAATGAACCAGAAGCCATAACAAATACTAAATGTATCTGGAGTTAATAATACGTCTCTGGAATTGAGCAGCAGGTTCCCCAAACTCGAACAACTCTTCAACTGTAGAAAACGTGCGAATCATACTCGTAACAGGTTCATGTTGTCCAAAAGAAGAGCGGTGTGAGTCTTGACGCAATAGGAACGTTGAGCGTAGAAATCTGCTTGGCACACGAAAGTTCAAGCAAGAGAGTAAGTGGGTAGAGTCAATTTCACCACTTAATAACTTCGCGACGAATGTTGCCTGTTGAATTTGTCGCCGTCGTTGTAACGTGTCCATGCTTAGCAAGCGACATCTCTCAACATACGGAGGTAAGTTTAGTGGATCTCTCCAAGGAAGTTGTCTTAATGCTCGACGAATGAATGTTTTTTGGATACGTTCTATTCTGATGTTCCAGGAAAGTTGGTAGGGAGTCCAAACAACAGATGCAGTCTCGATAATCGGACGAACGAGTGAACAGTACAGTGCTTTTAAACAGTACGGATCCGAAAAATCTCTTGAGATTCTTGATATAAACCCAAGCTGACGATTAGCCTTAGTGATTACCATTGAACGGTGTAAGTCAAACGTAAGTTTAGGGTCCAGCATTACACCTAGGTCGCTTACTTGTTCTACTCTTTCTAGTACAAATCCATCAATTGAGTAATCGAATACGATTGGCGTTCTTGTGCGATTAAATGTCATGACCACACATTTTGATATACTGACGGAAAGCTTGTTTAAGCGGCACCAATCAACAAATTGGTCTAACATTGCTTGGAGCTGACGGCAATCCTCGACGTTCTTGACAACAATGTATAGTTTGAGATCATCGGCGTATATGAGCACACAACCACTCGGCAAGAGGAGCGTCACATCGTTGAAGAAGATTGTGAACAGCAATGGTCCTAAATTGCTGCCCTGGGGAACACCGGAGGTTGCAGCAAATGGTGATGAAGTGCACGAACCCAGCTTGACACGAAGTGTTCTGTTGGAAAGATATGATTTCAGCCAATCAACCAAACCATCCGAAATTCCCAGGCGAGACATTTTCCGAAGAAGAATACCATGATCGATGCAATCGAATGCCGCTTTCAGATCGGTATAAACGGTATCTACTTGAACCCTATTTTCCAAGTGATTTATACATGTTGAGGTGAACTTCAGCAAATTTGATGTAACTGAGCGTCCTGGCATAAATCCGTGTTGCGTTGCTGAAATGTAGCTCTTGACATGAAAGAAGATAGCATCGTTCACAATGATCTCGAATAATTTTGAAGCTGCAGATAGACTTGTTATGCCACGATAATTTGTCACGTCACGTTTGTCGCCCTTCTTATGGACAGGGAACATAAAGGAATGTCTCCATATTTCGGGGAAAACTCCTTGGTGCAACGAAGCGGTAAAGATGCGAGCTAGGGGATCAGCTAAAACAGCAACACAGCGGCAAAAAATGATTGCAGGTACACTATCAGGACCCGGTGAAACAGATTTCTTCAACTTCCTAACAGCTTTAACGACATACATATTGCTAACCACAAATGTACGCAAATCGATGAGACCCTCAGGAACATTGCAAGCCGCTCTTTCTACTTCATCTGCGTTGGCGGCTGAATCCGAAAAAACAGAACTGAAGTGGCGGGAAAATAGATCACACGATTCGAGCATAGAAGTAGACTCCAAATCGCCAAAAAATACGGATGAAGGAATATTCGACGATTTTCGCAAACTTCCAGAAGCTCTTGGGATTTCTACGTAAATTGGTCTGGACACGCAAGACATATGACTTGTATAGGGTTGAATTAAGCTTACGATAGGCGTTGCAAGCGCGATGAAAGTTGCGTTTCGTTTCAGAAGTTCGATGTCGGCGAAGTTTACGCTGCCAGGAATTTTTATCCCGTTTCAAAAACCGCAGGAGAGGAGAACTCCAAGCAGGAGATATAGGAGGTTTTCGTCTTGGAGTGTTATCGGTGAGCCAATTGCAAATTATGTTGCAAAATTGTGCTGCCATATCGTTGACGTCATTTGTTGCCAGAATACTGCTCCAATCACAGCTCATCAGGAACTCGTTGAGCATGACGAAGTCGATTTTTGAGTAGTCGAGCGTATGTTCACCAGCATCAAGGGATTCCACACGGTCAACACAATCGGATTGAGTTGGTAAGGAGAATAAAATCGGTGGATGATGCAAATCAATAGCCAGCAATGGGGACACCGCTTCGTTAACTACAATGTTGCAATCGGAATCACAGAAAACCAAATCTAGGATGCGCCCCAGGTGATTGCGAATAGAGTTGTATTGCCGGATATTCAGGAAGCTCATTCCATCCATCAGAGCAGCACTGGCAGCAGAAGTCGTGGAAGGATCAAGGTTTAAGATTCCATCATCAAGACAATCCCATGCTATGTGTGGTTGATTGTAGTCACCACAAGCAAGCAAAAGGTCACCATCTGGAGTTGCATCACGTAATTCACGAAGAGTAGCTAAATGGGCATCGATAACACCTACGTCCCGACTACGATCTGGAGGAATATATACAGCGCAAAGCACGAACCGCTTTCCGCGAATACAGGCAGACACACTTACTTGTTCCAGGTTACTACCATTAATAGTCTTTATCTCAACAGACTTGTAAACGCTGGCCACGGCAATAAGCACTCCTCCAAACTTCGCTTTCTGGCTATTACGAGCACTGCGATCGCAGCGAAATACATTAAAGTCAGTACCAAAAAGTTGCAGTGAGTTGATGCTGTCGTCAAGGCCCGTTTCTATCAATATGATGACATCGTAATTGCAATCACATACCGCTACAACCAGGTCGTCAATTTTGGTTCTTAGACCACGTACGTTTTGGAAGTAAAGCCAAACATCGTTGTCACCAGCAATTCCACAACTGTTGTCACGAGATGCCGGCGTGTAGGAATTTTCGGCGCGTCCCGACATAGGTAGGGGACGTTCAAGGCGTTGTCCATGTTGGTTATTGAACATCCATAACTGGTAAAAGTTGATAGAATATTACAGTCATCAACATGATTTGTTCTCGAATTCTGTGTACATCGTACAACGTTATGTTAGGAACGGAATGACTAATGTGCAGCAGTTTTTATGTAATATTCAACAACTTTTTTTTTGTATTCGTCAAAACAATGACGTGAAAAAGAACTGGCATCACTGATAAGTTCGAAATGTGGTGGCGTGCGATTTTCGTTTTTTTTCCGGAAGAATAGCAAACGGCCTATTGTCCTTCGGCATAATGACCCAGCATCATCATGTTTGATGGCAGGAGATCAAAACAAGCAACTCTACTCCTGATTGAGAACCCGTTGAGATTAAGGTTGAGGCACTACATGACTTCTTCATTGGAATTTCTTGAAAACAACCTGGTTCTACAGCACACTATTGTTACTCCAGGTTAATCTGACTAGCTCTTTCGGCAACACAATGCTTATAGGACAATTTATTACATCAAAATTAAACAAAAAATACTCACATCGGTAGCCGCCGTCCGGTACGGCACATCGGTAAAGTTGTACTCCCAGCCGTTTTTGCAGGACTGGGTTGGCCAGGATGGGTCAGCCTTGCGGATGTTGTTGGCTAGCACTTCGGTGAAGTTCACGGCATACATGGCGCACTTGCTGTAGGAAGCCGTTCCGTCGTCAAACTCAGTTCCATGTTCGTAGTGAACGGGAATTGCTAGGGCGCGTCTGAAAATGAAACCGGGAGCAAAATGCCAAACATGAACAGAAATTAATGGAATGTGATCACGATAAGTAGATACCGGACCCCCGCAACAACGGTTAGAAACATCAGAAGACATATTGTTATAAATTTGATCGACAAACCTGTCCGGTTAATTTATTCAAACTGTCAATTAAGGTATTCGTCATCATTGATCATTGCAGCGACACGACCAAATTCATGATTTGGCACTTTCACAAAAAGTGGAACCTCATAAATCGTATTCCAGGTGGAACCACTGCGTGTCTGGGCAATAAGTGCTGACACCGCCTCCAAAACCTCCTCCGCGGAGCTCCGGATACAACGAGTTTCGGTTTTTTTTATTTTTTTCATTAATACATTTTACCAGACAGCCAGATCACAGATTATGACTGATTTAGACTGTCAGCAGCTGATTTACTTCTTTTCTATTTATATTATGCCTTAGGCACAAGTCTGGTTTCTGGTTGAGTCTAAAAATACTAATTATATAGTCTTATTTTAATAATTCTAATTAAGCACACTTTTTTCCATTTGCAACAACAATCGCGGTATGTTCCGGTACGACGATTTCCTATTCTCACAAACCAGATCAAATTTGCGCAGTGTTACGCAATCACAAAAGTGCTCGCACACGGGTTCGGCTTCAGTTATGGCATTGAACTCTGAAGAGCTAGAATCGTTCCAACCTTCAAGTACAACCCGTTTTACCGCGGTAGCAAAATATTTGTCCCGAAGGCTAAATAGTGACGTCACTCGCCGTTCTTTCAAATATATCTAGAATAGCTGATTTACAACTTTCTGCTGTTTTGAAGTTTGACTTTGAGGATTGAGGATGTGTGTACCTAAAAGGTTCAATTAGCTTCGCATGGGAGGGCCAATTTAATGACCGTGAAAATCAGGTTCTAGGTACGGCTTCTGTTGCTTCTTTTTCTTTGCTGTTTCAGAATTTGGCATTTAAATTGGGACGTTCCAGCAGGTAGGGGAAGGTGTCGGTAAATATGTGGGGATAAATTAAAAGTGAATGTTTCTGGCTTGTTGACTGGAGCTGATCCGGTGCACAGGAATGTTCAAGGTTGAGTGTAGACGAAGACGTCCCTTTTAGCGGGATGTTTTGGTTGTATACACATCCGCATTGGTTAAACACATCGCGATGGAGGAACCCGTACAAATTTTCCGAATATGGTAGGTGTACCGAGAGTGGTTCTTAGGATTGTTTCTTGGTTGGCGAGTATTCATTTCGTCCCCAGTGATGGATCGCTCTCTTGAGATTTATCATTACTTTTAACTATATAATGCTAACGTAAAATCCAATTGAATTTTCAGCTATCCCATCGTAAAATCGATAGTTTAAGGTGATTCCTCGTAGAGTCCACAAATGGCCGCCGTACATGCACTTCCACTTTGAATTTTCAATTACACAAATCTCGGAAGTTAATGCCCCATTTCACCTGAAATTGCTACTTCATGTATGCTGCAGTACAGCAAACGTGAAGTAACAGTTTCAATGTGGTACGTTTCGTGGAAGCTGATATTTGTGCATTTAAAGTTTCGAAGTGGTTACGAGAATAAGGATCTCACAGCGAAACACCTTAATGCTATTAATCTCACTATCAAAATGCAAAATTTCCCCACGATAGAGCCACACTCTGTGTTTTCACTGAAGCTGCACTCGAGAGGGAGTGAAAACATAGAGTGTTGCTTTGATTTGCGGAAATTTTAAATTTTGATAGGGCGATTAATTTAGCTACTTTTTGCTTGATCATGCCATTATTCAAAATAGCAACCGTCTGATGCGTTGCTACCGGGTTGCTAAATTTATGAACTCACTACTTCCCAAGATGCGGATTGCTATTTCCCCCACCTGAATAGCAACCTGCGGTACGCAAGTAGCGTTATGGTAGAGGTTGGTAAGTGTGCCTTATTTACTCATTGGTACGGTTGCTCTTAGATTATCAATCTTGTAAACAATTAATAACTATTCAATTTGATAACGATTTTCTGCAAAGTTGTAGCTGAGAAAATTTACCAGAAGAGCTATAGAACTTTTTAACATTGCAATATGGAAAAAAGCTAGAAGATAATGAACAAGCAATTAGGTTTGCCCATAGTAATTTAAATATAAACTTAGGCTAATCAGGACCCAATTTGAAACCGTTTGAGCCCTGTGGAGCGATAATTTTTAATTTTGCATCAGTCTACAGTATATGTTTACGATGCACTTTGTGAATGCCCCTGTTACACCTAATCGGCATTAGCCATAATATACGATAGGCATAATTGACGTTAGGCATAAAATCTCATGCTATTTTGCATGTTTTTCAAATAAACGGTTCTGTATACTAGGTGGGGTGAAAAGTAACCTCCTTGGGAATGATTTTTTTTATATTTTTTTTTTTAATTTTATCCAATATAAAGCAAGGTTGCAAATACTCATTTCAGCTAACACAATGTTTTTTTTTAATTATGAAATATTTAGATGCTATGATCATATTTTGAATTGGTAAGATACAAGAAGAGGTTGCAAAGAATGTATTTGACATATTAAACCTGTTTATTGCACTTCATGAGGGTCACAATCAGCGATTTTTCACACACTCACTCACTCACTCACTCACTCACTCAGCGATCAGCAAATTGCTGATTGTGACTCAATGAAAGCAAAATTTACAGATTTTATGTTTCAAACGCATACTTTGTAACCTCTTCTTGTAAGTTACAAGTAAAACATGTCATCATACCATCTTTTGGTTTTATTATTTCGAAAAACATTATTTTAGCTGAAATGAGTATTTGCAACCTTGTATAAAGCTATGTCCATTTAGAATCCGGAATAGTAAAATCATTTGTATCTCAGTAACGGGTTGGCGTAAAAATAAGGTTAATACAACAAAACAAAGGTAATTCACTGCACTTTTAGGAAAAAATATCAATACAAATCATTTCTTTTCGTTTCTAATGAAAATTCGCACTTTCTTCTTTATTCCTCCCATCAAACGCTGCACACCTCCGGAGTCAACTGCCTTGGCACATTTGTTCCACATTTTGATCATGTGAATCGCGTCCCGAGCCGTTTTTCCACTTTTCTTAAGCTTCCGCTTCATTATTGCCCAAAATCTCTCGATGGGCCGGAACTGCGGGCAGTTGGGTGGATTTATGTTTTTATCGATGAAATCTACGTTATTATCGCGGTACCACTGGATGACTTCCCGGCTGTAGCGGCAACTCGCCAAATCTGGCCAAAACTTCACGGGACCTTTATGGGCTTTAATGAAAGGTAGTACGCGGTTTTTGAGGCATTCTTCCTTGTACAGCTTCGAGTTCATCGTCTTATTCGTCACGAACACTTTGGTCTTTACTCCGCAGCTGCATATCCCTTGCCAAATCATCAGTTTTTTGGCATATTTGTCCATAAAAGCAAACTTAAACTTCGCAGGAACATCTCCTCGTGCCGTCGCCATGTAGAATGTTTGGCCAGGAAGCTGTCCGAAATCCATTTTGACGTAGGTTTCATCGTTGATGAGCAGATATCCTTGGTACTTCGTCAAAAACTGCTGGTAAAATTTTCGAGCTGAAGTTTTGGTGACGAAACATTGCTTCAACGTTCTGTTTGGTTGCTTGCTGGCTCGATAAGAACGATATCCTGCTCGCAAACGAATTCTTCGAACGGTACTGCGAGCAGCAGCGTATTTTTGTGCGATTTCATTATCTGATAGTCCAGGGTTTGCTCTGACGGTTCTCAAAACCTTCTGGGTCAGCTTGTGGTCATTTGTTCCACTACGACGCTTAACTTGAGGCACTCGATCCACGCTCTTTCGTTCCCTGAAACGTTTGAGCACATCATACACGGTTGATTTGGCGATTTTCAACGTTTTTGCGATTTTTATTGCGGACCACGTTGCATTACCAACGTGGGTGTGCAGATTTTTTTTCTCTCCTCTCGGCTTCCATCTGGAATAATTTTTGACTCACTGCACGAAACACCTTAAAATTTATACCACAGAAAGTGGGCGCCTAGGTAAACAAACCGCTGTAAAATAATTCTTGCAGCGGTCACTTTCCGTGCCGCTGCAACACAATAAGTGATTCCGGATTCTAACTGGACAGAACTTTAGTCCCCTTTTAGCTCGATTTTTCAACTTCATGATATCGTCCGAAAAGTAATTTTCCGGAAGGTCTGCAAAATACTCCTCCGCGGCGTCGATGATTTCCTCGCGTGAGCTGATTTTTTTTATTGATGAGCCATCTTTTGAGGTTTGCGAAGAGATATTAGGGAGCCAAATCAGGCGAATACGGTGGATACGGAGGCAATTGGAGCCGTAAGTCATTGATTTTAGCCGTGGTTGCGATGCTCTTGTACGCCGGCGCATTGTCTTGCAAAAACAATTTTTCGATTTCGGCCTTCAATAGCTCCAATAACGCACAGTAATACTCGCTGTTGATGGTTTTTCCTTTTTCTAGGTAGTCCACGAAGAGTATGTCATAACAATCCCAGAAAACCAACGCCATAACCTTTCCGACCCATCGACCTTCCCTCGGCCGCTTCGGGGCACTCGTGCCGGCTTCAGTTCATTGCCGAGCACTCATTCTGTTCTCTGGGGTGTAATAGTGGATCCAGGTTTCATCAACAGTTACCAATCGACGCCAAAAGTCCGCCCGATTCCGCATCAGCAAGTCCAAACACTCTTTTGAAGTGCTATCGTGTTCGTGGTTTTGGTCAGGAGTGAGCTTACGCGGCACCCAGTGGCAGGATAACTTTTTCATATGCAGAATCTCGCCCAAAATATGGCGTGTGCGCTCAGTACTAATCTTTGCGGTATCTGCTAGATCGCGCACCTTCGCTTTCCGGTCAGCCAACACCATTTCATGTATTTTTTGATATTGTCCTCTGTAACCGCATCGGAGGGCCTGCCGCTGCGGACTTGATCGGTAGTGGAGTTGCGGCCACCACGAAACTCTCGAAACCAATATTTGACGGTGTAATCTG